TTTTTTTTCTTTTTTTTCAAAGAACAGGACTATCTTAGTTAAAAGTGGAACAAATGGAAATATAACTGCAGTATAACGGATCGCGGTATAATCAAGACGAGCCAGATCCATCGGAATGATGTTCTCTTAATTAAAAATTCGCCCGCAGGTTTTCCTTAATTAACCATGATAACAGGTCGTGTCCAAGCTTTCTCTGATAAACCTAATCTTCCCTCGATCGGTCTTTCCACGCGAAACTGATCGTCTTTTTCCGATAATTTCAACTTGTTACGCACACACACAGTTCGTGGTGTCACTCGCCGTAAATGAAGCGACAAAAAAAAAAAAAAAGGCGGCGAGAAGAAAGACGGATAAAAAGGAGAAGTCGATGGAGGTGGAAAAGTTTTCATTTAAATTCTACTCGAAGCTATATTGCACACACAATTGCAAGAGCATCGTGTTCTCGGCTATCTCGTTGCCGCAACTGCACTTCCTTCGACCATTTGCTTGCGCAAATATCCTCGAATAGCGATCGTGCATCGCTCATATCCGCGGAAAAACAGGTACCTTCTCGAATATAAAGCGTCCTACGCTACGATAATCTAGCTTATCTCCATGAAAACAAGATATATTAATTGTAAATTGAGATAATAGTAGCTGTTACTATCCTTTTCGAAGAGAATAATTTAATAACCATTAATAGGAATAGGAAATATTCCTTAAAATGACTAATTTCAGGATTTTTTATATAAATATTATAACACAGAGTATAATAAGTTTTAAAAATAATAGACCGAATCTATTTTTTAAACTACGACACTTGTAATCCTGTAATCCTTGTAAAAGCTTGAAATGATTTAAGATCAAAGACAAAAACAAATACAAATATTTCAAACAACATTATGCAAAATTCTTCTGATGCATTTGCGATCAAATCACTTCTTGCATCATATCGATGATAATAATTTAATTATTTATTATCGCAAGAAAATATTATATTACAAAGAGACTACAATATCCATATCAAAAATTCATTGAGCGAAAAGTGTGCCATTGACATTAGAATAATCTCTTAAGTAAACCACGTACCAATTATAACTCATATATAATACCCGAAGGATATTAAATATTTGGCGGCGAAAATTATCCCTTTAATTTTTCATTATATTTATTATACCAAAAACTCTCTACACGTACGTGCTGTTAATAATACATACGTATATGGCATTATAAGTTTCTTCGTGCACACTACTTAACCATATATGGAGCAACAGTGCACCGGTGTGGTATCTATATCAAAAATTCACTACACGTATCTTGCTACACGCAGCATAGCATAGTTTCATCATGTGCGGGGTATGCGCGCGCTCTAAGCTTCGAATTTAAACTCGGCGTGTGGGTGGCGATCGTGTTTTTCGAGGATGGCCTCTGGCCGCGCGTATCTACGACGAGCAACATTGTCGAGGAAAGCGCGGTCGATCCACCGCCGATATTAATGGCACGGTAATTAGCGTGGCGGTGGTTTGTTGCCTGATTGCTTTCGTACCGCGGTTGTTCGCTCGCCGTTTTGTTTTGAGAAATGAGCGCAGTGGTCTGGTCGAGGAATTTTTTTGTCGTTAATTAAACGGCCGTGCTCTGATGTTGAATGGACCCTAATGGTACTCGTGTAAGGTAATGATGTAATCGAGGAGTTGTTGAATCAATGTGATAAATCGGCCGGTTTCTGCGCGTAAATCGTAAAATTTTCTTCGATGAAACGTCAAGATTCGATGTCATAAGTCGAGCGTTTTAAATCTTCTTGCCGATATTATTTTCTACGTTGTCAGGGTTCGTTTGCCGCATAAATTGGAGATCGGCCAGGTTTCGTGGAAGAGAAATTCTTTGATGTAATGACAAGATTCTAGGTAGTTTCGTTGGAAATACAGGAAATCAGTCGTTTAATATTATTTTGCTTAGTACTTTTCCTTTTTTTCTTTTCTCGCCGTAAAGTGTACAGACACTTTTTAACCTTTTGTAGTTCAACCTCTTTTTCATTAATTTCTCTTTTCTGATTCTCTTACTAATTTCTTACCGATAATGATTGCTAACATTCTAAGAGCAAGAATTCGAACAAGCTTTGTAACGATTCCTATTGTATTAGACCGTGGATACCATCTTCTTTAAATTATCCCTAATTATTTTAATCAACTATCCTAACCGTATGTCTTAATATTCCTCTATTAGGCAGAATTTCTAACGCTAAATTAACGTCAATATAATGACAAGCAGAATTAATAAATCTATGAAAAAGATACGAAAACGAACGACGTTAAATAATAATAATAATGTAATTCTACACAATTTATCCTAAATCGGTTGAAAGTTCGTTTTCGATGACCGGTATGCACCAACGATGATACCGTTGCGAGGCAAAGAGCCACACCCTTGCCGTTGCACACATGCACATTGGCGTACACGCGATGGATGCAGCGGCAGATACACGTGACTATGTATACACAACCGCTCTCGCGGTCGTACCGATTGTATCTAGGCGTCGGGACGCGGCAGAGCCATGGAAAAGGGAAGAGCCATGATGGAATTCGAGGCGAAATCGCCGATTTCCAGCATCGATTCGTGCTTACAACGTTTCTCGTCAGATGCACGAATTCCACGACATTCCTCTCTTAAAGAGATCGGAAGATCTGCCTTGAAATCAAAGACGGATCAAAGGAAAATCGAAATGCGACTACTCTAAGACGTACAGAAAATCGGGAATTATTCGAGACTATTCGAAGGCGTAGAGCTCGGTCTTGGTAGCGAGAGATTCCGCGGAGTTCGATCGTTTCTCCGCTGTCCGCGTGGAATAATTTACAGGCTCGTGACGCCGAGAGAAAATCGAACGGCGGAACAGAAATTACGCGGTTATCCCGTCGAAATTGGCACGACTACTCGGTCTCGCGCCGTATACACGGTACCAGCGTGTCGTCGAACAGCTCCCTCCACGGCGCGTGTCATTAAACCAGTATCCTAGACAACTGGCGCTGATTATTTAGCAATACAAATCATTCCGCGTGCGAGCTCTATCTCTGGATCGGTCTGTCCTTGTCCGTACACCGTGCACGATGCTGGCTCCATCTTCGTCACGCTCGCGACCAAGCGGGTTTTCGCGTGCGCGGGCGTGGTACGTACCACTTACGCGCGAACGGAGAACGAGAGACACACGCACGAACGAGGTGTACACCGGTGAATGTTACGTGCACCGGTGTGTACGTGTACATCAGATAGCCGCGTGGAGAAACAGTTTCGTTGATTAGCGAGCTCGTTGAACCGGCCGTATTACTTTGTCGAATCGCAGAAACGCTTCGTCGAGAGACTTATGGCGGTCACCGGGCTTAAATATTGTCGCCCGTGTCCACAGAGAGCTTTATCGACCGACTCTGACCGTTGCTCCTGGACGGAAGACGGGAAACGAGATGGAGAAGTATGGTAGTTGGGAATTTGTTTGCGACTCGAAGTGATCGTGTAGCTTGATTGTTTGAATAGATGCTGGTTTCTCGGGATTTCATGATGGCCGGTAATGAGGTTTTGTATCGAGATTTCTCGTTCACTCGACTTACATTTGGCCTACGAGTGTAGAATGCAGATGTAAGGGGAAATTTAACTGATATAAACATAATATAACTCTATTTTCTCGATAAATATTTGTACTGTTTATTAAATGGATCTTTGCTGATCTACTTTAGGTACTCTGTTTCTATTTGTATGTGAATAAGATAATAATATGGATTCTAATATCTAATATAAAGAAGAAGAAGATTGAGAATTTTGTTTCAAGCATTGAAATATAGTCATAGATGCTTGTATTCATGGAATGAAGATATACAAATATTTTCAATTATTATAGTTGAAATTATATATAGTTGAAGATAATATAATTTTATCTTTTGCTTAATCTAACTTTAATATTATATTATTTATTGGAAAAATCTTACCTGTTTTGTTTAAAGTAGAATAATTTTCTTTATAACTAACTTAATTGCTTAATAATATGAAGTCTCTGAGAATTCCAAAAGTTTCAAACATTTCATATTTTTGCTCTTAATTAATATAACATCTTATTGATATATGTTAAATTCTATCAATTAATTTTTCATTCATCTTTAATTATATTTAGATTTGCACTTATAATCTTTATTTTTATAATTCTTTAATTTTATTTATTATAACCATTCTACAGGATTTTGTCAAAGAATTAATATACTTTAATTTCACCAATTTTAATTTTAGCAATTAAATGAGAATTAAATATTATATTTTATTAGAGCTATATAAAATGTTTTTAAAATTTTTAAATCTCAAAGAAAAATCTAATATTTGCATAATTTCTTAATTATCCATATAACTTAATATTATATTTATCTGAAATACTGTTCACTAAACAATATTAATCAACAAATACTTCCTGATTCATTTAGTAATTTCATTTACAATTAATTTAAATAATAATATAAACTATTAATAATACTTGTAGAAAATTTTTAAAATCTATTAGAAAATATCTATATTTTCAAAACATATTTAATCACCTATTTGATCTAATTCTAATCTATATAACCTAACACTGTTCATTGAACAAATCTTTCTTGATTAATTCAAAATATAGTTACTTAATTTGCAATTAACTAAGTATTAATATAATATATTTAAAAAAAGTTATTCAAACTTTTAAATCTCAATGGAAAACTAACACTAACAAATGGTATTCAACTCGTTGTTTACTGAATTTTTAAAAAGAAAGTTATCTTTTTACAATTAAACATAATGCGTGTAAAAAGAAAAAAGATTTAAAATTTCTAAATCCTATTAGAAAAATTAGTATCTATATTATTTCCTAAACATATCCAATCATCCATTTGATATTATATCTATCTAACCTAACATTATTTTCTGTACAAATTTATCTTGGTCAATTCAAAATACACTTATTCTACTTACAATTAAATATTAAAATTAAATGTAAAAACTTAAAATTTTTCAAAAACCTTTAAATCCCAGGGGAAAAACACGCATCTACGTTATTTCTTATCCAGTCATCCATCTTGTATATCATTGAAGTTCAAAATTTTCACATCCACCATAGCGATCGTTTCCAATAGAGACGCTCCTTTAGTATCAAGTTGCTCACGGTACTGGTTCGATGAGTCATCTTGCGAGCAGAGAGATCACGGGATAACGCGTTATCACAAAGGTCGTCGGCCAGATTGATGTTATCATAGAACTAATCAGCGCACAAACAACCGTTCAACGAGACGAATAAACTGACTAAAAGTCAATGGCGCGACGGTCGCTTCCTGAATCGTGCAAGGCGTCATCTGACGAATAGTAGGCGAGCATTCTCGATACCAGCGCCATGAAATAGTTAATCTCAAGGTGAAATCAAACATGGTGAAACAAATTGGCGTCCAATCGAAGTATCACCGTGGCCGGTTGACCCGAATACACGCTCGAAATAATCGCCGCCATTAGTTCTTCGCGCGATCATCATTTACTCGAGACCGCTATCAGTGTACGGTGGAATCGATCTTTCATACTGAACATCTTTCTTGCACCGAATAATATTTCCTTATCCTTCGGCCATTTGTATTTATTAACTGAGACGCGTAGTTACGTATGCATGTGTGAATGTTGTGTGCGTTTTGTGGAATGTTGAATATAATGAAGATCATCCTGCGACATTTCTTGGAAATTGGAAGGATTGGATGGAAGTTCATCTTCAGAATTGGAAATTGAACGTAAACTTCATGAAATTATTGAAATTGAACAAGGTAAAACGTAGTTATAGATTAGATTTGATTGCTATTGTTAAACCGACCATAACCTCTTCACATTTATGTCAATCCCAATCATTATTAACAAACCATTATTCATCATTATTTCATTTATTTAAAACTTTGACTATTGAAACATTTTCTTTATCTCTCTTTCCTCGAAGTAAATTAAAATCATTATCAAAAATAACATATTTAAAAAGATCAATGGAAAACGGATACGTTGCATACCTTTATCTCAATTTTAAAAAAAAGAACACATTGAAGGAAATATTATTTCCATAAAAAATGTAACACAAAACACATGTACACATAACATACATAGTAAATGAACGAGCGTTATCAAATATCATCTACAAAGTTCACCTCGCTAAACTAAATAATACTACAGAAATATCAAAATTGATACGCATATTGCGCATATCTATTTTCCATTGGATCCCTCAACAATTCATACTTCTCGTACTTTCTTCAACGACTCTTTCCACGAGATCGCAACGTCTATCGACAGAAACATCCACTTATCGCTCTCCCTTTATCGTTCGTTCCTCGAGAGGCTCCCGACACCGCGATTCGCCTTAATCGGAAGCGGGATCTCGCGGTATCGACTTTCGGATTTTTTCCCCTCCCGGTTGAACCGAACGACTCGTCGTGGCCGATGTCATTATCCTAGGAGTAGTAGATAATGGCGGCTGGTCCGCGCGAATGCATGGATCGGCAGGCGAGGCATGCAGGGGCCTGGAGCCGCATTATCGCGGGATTACGTAAGCGCGGCATACGGTACGCTTGTGTGTTACGCTATAATTAGGACCGGGCTGGCATAACCGCGAGCCGCCGCCGCCAAGCGCAAATACGCCTGTGTAATCCGCGTCCGTATTAACGACCGACGATAAACCTTAACGGGGGATGGATCCTCGGAGGCACGAACAAAAACAACCGAGGCACGTTCGATATATAGCGATGGAAAGAGAGAGAGAGAGAGAAAGAGCGGCGGCGACGGTGAAAGGATACACTTCTGATGGGATACACGTCATAGTGGGTATATAAGTGTAGCGATATAAGTTGGTTTTATTTTTTTTTTTTTTTGTAATTGGCAAAAATGATAAGAAGTTTTAGTAGACTGGTGAGAAATAGATTGTTATAGGAGTAAATGGCATGAAAGATATTTTGTGTATTTTGTGGATCTTTGGAATATTTAATGAAAAAAAGGGTATAAAGTGAAAGTGTAAATGAACGAAGAGTGGAGAATATAAGTAAACAGAAAGTAAGAATCTTTTGCTTCCTTTGATGTTTATAGTATGATTGTTCTTCCTTAATATCTCTTAGGAATAAGATCTGTTAGAATTATCAAAAGTACTTTCATTTGGTCAAAAATTTCCACAAAATTCTAATTCAACTATCTCAGAAATTAATAAATCTATTCCAATATTAAACAATAATATTCCTATTTTATTCAATCTGTAATATATAAACAAAGTGATAAAGAATAGAATTAGACATGATTCTAGATTATTAATTGTAATTCTCAAATAGATTCTTTCATATATTTGTCATAATTTCTACAAATTTCTCTCACTGACCATATATTAAACTCAAAAAAAGATCTATATACGTATAGATGATAGAGAAATGAACTAGTATACACAATGATCTGTACATAGCCACAATTATTAAGCCTAACTCATCTCCAAATATCCACAAATCAAACCCCAGAAATTCTCACGAAAAATATCTGTACATAATCCAAATTTCCAATGATCATCCGTTAATATTCATTAAATCCAACGATAACACCTTAACTGTTCAATCTCTCCCTTGAAATGGCCACAAATCAAGCTCAGAAATCCGCGTGAAAAAGATTTACAAATACAAATCGACGGATACAAGCGCAGCACAATCCTAATGCCATAAATCAAATCGAGGCAACCTCTCTCTAACCAGGCGTCTCCAATAAATTAATAACCGTGCTCGGGGTTACGGTGTGGCCGCGAGTTCCTCCTCCGCGCGGGCGAGTGGCGAAAATCAAGATCTCGCGGTTCTCGTTCACGACGTACGCTTGATTAATACCCAGATGTAATTACCGGGGCGGTGGAAGGGCGCTCGCGAGAAAAGGGCGGACGAGCGAGGTCCAAGCCTCGGCGGGAGAAACGTTGAAGAAGGAGGGGAGCAAAGGTGACCAAGAGGAGGAGGAGGAGGAGGAGGAGGATGATGATGAGGAGAAGGAGGAGGAAGAGTTAAGCTGCCGAGGGAACGAAATCCTGACAGATTTCATCGTGGGCTGACGTAAACAATTTGCGAATGTAAATACCTGTTGAATATTGAGCGCGGCTCGGGAGAGAGAGCTCGAGGGGCCTCACACCTTACGGCCCGTTTACCCTTTAAACTTGTGATTACCTCCACCTACCGCGGCGAGCACACACTATAAGCGCCACACGTGTATCACGAGTATACAGGGTGATTTATAAATTTAGGCTCACAATTCAGGGGGTAAAATATCGCCCTTATTACTCGATCCTTTTTCGACGACCGGTGCCCTTATAAAAGGACATTCGTATTGGTGTCTACGTTATTAAATATGGATTATTTCGTCACCATGTATATCGTTGTTAAATCGAACTAATATTAAGACATAGAAAAGTGTTTTTTGAACAGGAGGTGGAAAAAAATTACGAAAGGATTAGGATATCATGTTTCATATCTTTTTCTTTTTGCATCACAAAATTCAGAAGAAAGCGTTATATTATTTAGAAAAATCTTCTAAATCCAATATTGTGCATCCAATTTGATGAAAAATTGTCGAGCAGGCTCGTTTCACCGAACATTTAAACGTTTTCTTTTCCCTTTTATTTCCACGCGTAAATTCATCGCCTCGAGCACACGAATTTTCGAATCACCCTGTATATGCATACACAGAACGAATCGTTTCCACGTCATCGGCATAAATTATGCTCGAACATTGTGCTGCCACGCCGGATCCGCGGCCCTCGACGTGGATCGCGGATCTATCCGTCCGGATCGCGCGATTCGCAGGCGCGATCGAGGGCCTCGATAAACGCGCGAGAAAACCCTTCTTTGAAAGGACGGTGGGACCGGGGGCGTTAGGTTCCTTTCCTTTCGGTTTCCTTCGTGAAATTATAAGCCGCGTGATGACTCGTGTGGCGTTTCGTAGTGTGAATTTTTTTCCTCGAGGGGTTGATTTCGATACGAGGATTTTATTCATGAAATTCTAATTTTCTCTTCTAAAGAATTATCCGTCTTTATGGGGAATAGTGTGTAATATGTTTTTGTAATTGATAAAAATTATAATTATTTATATTTGTTAAAAGTTAGATTAGAAGCGTGATCTGCACGTTCACAAATATTGCAAATATTGTATTTTGATATTTGTTCCTATTGGACAGATATTTAAAGGTATTTGAAATTAATATTTATGTTTTGACTCACCGTCCTGGTTCATCCCGTGGCCACCGTCATCTGTTCAAAAGAAAGAAAACAAAAAAAGTTAGGCATCATTTAAAATCCAAAATCATGTATACCATTGATGAACTTTGTTCCTTTTCAATGGTTCTTACTTAAATTACTCTAAATTAAAAATTATGAACATACCGGTTCATTTTTATTTTAAATCTCGTACAATCGAACTAAATAAAAATATCAACATCTCAAAACCACAAAAATCAAAAGTTTCAATCTCCTAAAAATAAGAATAATAATTGATAAACTTGCTTAAATTTCAACAATTCTCTACAATCTTTTAAAAAATCCACGATTCTGTTTAAAAATCCTCGCTCGAGCTTCGACGCGAATTCTTGGCGGAAAAAAAAAAAGAAAGATACACTTCTTAGGTTGCAAGTTGCAGATCATGAGGGCTTGCAACGATAGCCGCAGAGACGAGCTGCAACCTATTTGTACTGGCGGCCGGTATCGCGGCATCGCGCTGTGTTCCTTTATTTAACCCCATAAATAACCGGCCACTATCTCAACCCCGAACGTTTCCTCCGTTAAATACGAACACAGACGCGGCTGGCAAAATATTACGTGCTGCCAGTCACTCTGCTACGGGGTTGCCACGATGGGAATCCCCGCGAGGGCATCCCAAAGAATCCTTTCTTTCCTTTATTATTTACATCGTGTTTGCAATAGGATCAATCGAGAGAGGGTTGAAATTACTGGTGTGAATGCGAAATCATCAATTTTTTTTTTTTTAATGAAAAATATAGAGCCTTAATTATTACATTACTTTTAAATATTTTCTGTAGATATACATTGTTGTAGACTTTTGTACATGTTGATCTGTGTGTTAGATACTGTACGTTTAATTTATGGCATATGGTGTTACGAGAATTAACGAGATAAAATTATGACTCTGATACTTTCAGAAATGGATTTTCCTTTTTAATAATAAAATTCAAAATTATAATAGTATGGAATTATAAATAAATTAGAGGAAAGATAGGCTTCAATTATCTCTTGCCAGTGATAATATGGAAAATTACAACACTCTTGTAAACGTTACTTAAGGATTTATTATCCTATTAGCATGGAAAGAGTTAAATTCATAAATCTCTAACATCTATTTATTTCATATTTTTGATAAAACTATAATATCTTTTTTTTTTTTTCTAAATCGAATTCTGAAACAAGCAACGAAAATCTCTTTTAAAAATCTTAATTTCTTCACGTTCAAAGTATTCGTGTCTTTGAGAGAAACAAAATATCCAGAAAACCGATCGATCCTTTTAACTTTTCAATCATCCAACGTTATCATCATTTCGACGAGATGAGTTTTCATCCCTCTTTATCGGCTCTATCGTTCACTTTTCTACAAAAAAAAAAAAAAAAAAAGAAAAGAAAGTAAATATTCCAAAAGGAAGAAATCGATTTCGCTACTACGCTATTAAACACACACTCTCTGTTAAATAGATATGTTCAATCTATCATGGATCGGTAAAAATGCGTCTTTGATGGCTCGTCGATAGCTTCCTATTTGAAACAAAAAAACGT